CTCAGCTGCCCAGCCCAGTCCCAGATCTGTGGTGCACCAAAGCTGCAGCCACCACAGGAAATCCCAGATACCCCAACCCAGCCCACCAACATGAAATCACAGTTGCCCCAGGAAACCCCAGCTGCCCTAGCCCAGTTTCAAAGAAATCACCTCACCCAACCTTGGGAAGGAGGTTTTGCATGGCTCCCTTCTGCAGTTGCTGCACAAAGGGCCAGGCTGCCCTTGTTTGGTCAATGGTGGGAACAAGAAGATGGTGAAGGTCAGCTAAGGTAGCTGTGCATGGGGCAGAAGAGGCCCAGGGTGCAGGAAGCCTAAAGGGAAGAGTTGGGGAGGGAGATAGATAGGTGAGGGCAGGTGAGGTCCCCTGTAGTTTTAAATGTGGGTGGCTTGCCAAATGCCTGTATTTTGATCACGTGACTGTATGGTTTGCTGCAACAACTACAACTTCAGGGACTAGGTGTAAGCAGCAATTGTTCCACGTTGCATGACTTCAAACAGTCACTGAATGAAGGGTTGCAATTTAAGGACTACCAGTAACTTCATTTTGAAAAGAAATGGGTTTAGTTAGCATCATTTTTTTTCCCTTCAGCAACTGATTCCTAGGTTACAAATGAACACTTCAATTATCCATTCTGTAACTTTTCCAAGTATCGCTATCAAACAGGCTGATTAGACAGAAGTTGCACTCAACCTCTCATTTATTTTTTCTTTTGGAATATGGGGAACATTTGACTGCTTCTCACTAAGAAAAAGAAAACAGACTGAATGGCCAGACAGCTAGTTTGAAGACATCACTTTGGAGACATATGCTGAAGTCTGGATAATTACTGAACAGCTTTATAGATCCTGAATTCAGCAGGGGGTTGGACTCGGTGACCCCTCAGCTGTTTCCGAGTTGATGAGTCTATGAACTAACAGTATTGGTTTGCTTCTTTCTAGAGGAAGAAGGACTTCCTTCTTATGAGAAAAAATGTCTCTTCTGTTCTTTTCTGAATTGGTCATTGGTTCTGAATTACAAACTATCCACAAAACTCCAAAGGTGATATGAGCAAGAGGTTTCATTTTTCAGTTCAGTTTTATCCTAGCGTGACCACCCTTGTGCAGTAATATCTCATTTTCAATCTTTTCTTCATATTCAGCAACATATAGCCTTATAATTCATAAATAAACATTTGTTAAACATTAACAATAGCACTAACTCAGACATTCTCAACATGCCATACAATCATGACTGATTGCCATGCTAGGTATATCCAACTTTCAAGTACAAAAGGCCACAATGTGAGTTGCTCTACTATAGCAACAATGGCAAGAGCTTTCAGGCAGGGCTCATTGTGAGAAACAGGATGCTGGAGGAAAAGGACTATTCTTTTGCCATAGAAAGAGGGCATGAAATCCTAACTGCAGCCCTATAGAGTCATGGCAAGCATTCACAGATTGACACTGTTCCACGTTTTCAGATAGTTTCTCCTTTCTTCAGCAAGCTGGTAAAACTCTGTGCATGCCCAAAGTGAATTAAAAACAGGTTTGGTATTTCCCCTATGGTCATCTTATAAAGTGTAAAAAAATATTTACTGGGTGATTTTTCTACTTGGTCATGAAAATATTTGACTTTGAAACCTTGTTGCATACCTATCCCAAGATTTGTTTGTATTTGATTTTTTTAAAAAATATCAAAAGCAATAATTCACCAGTCTATAGAGATTAAGTTGATCACATGATTTCTACTTTCTCTTTTCAACTGCTACATAACATTTTTAAAAAAGCCTTAGACTTAATGCTTTCCTTAATATTGCTTTCCATATTTCTCCATAGTTGCTATGGGGATGTCATGTGATCGTGACTAAAAGGGAAAATGATCTAAGAGGAAACTGTGTCCCTATCTAGCTGTTATTCATGCTAATTAAATAGCAGAATACTACTTTCATGGCAACTGGCATAGAAACAGCTTTTGAATTTTTTTTTCTTTTTTACTCTTTGACTCTGCTGTTTGCTTCTATTACTGATATCCAAGCTTCAGTTCTTCATAAAGTACTTACACTATGTTCACTTTAGGCTGCTCCCATGATTCCTTGATTCTTAGGTTACATCCCAGGAACAGGGAGGCTCTTCCAGATGTTTTTAAAAGATTCCTTAGTAAGCATTTGTAATGATTGATAACCTGCCACAATTGTAAGAAATATCCAGCTACCTGGAAGGGGAAATTGTGAATGTAAACATCTCCACCAAACTCATCTGTTGATTGTACATCTACCGTAGGTTAGACAATGTTCACTACTTGATCCATTAACAGCATAGGAATGGTTGTGCAGTCCTGCCTTATTCTTCCATTTCTCCCAGGGTGATGAAAACAGTTAATTGTTACTTTGCTAATTGTTATTCACTGGATTGCACTAATGGCTATATATAAATCATTTCCCTCTCATTAACAATCTCTGACCAGAAAAAAGATGCAGTTACAGCATAGGGGTGCTCACCAGGAGGTCAAGTACAAGCCTATTCCCCCCCCACCATTTTTTATTTGTCAGCAAGAAGCTCTTACATACTTGCCTTTTTGTCTATTATCCTGCCACTTACTCCCTCCAAATCTTTCCAACATTTTCAACCATTCTAGCTTCCATTCTGGCTAATTATCACTTCATGGTCTTCAAACTGCTCATTTGACCAATATAAATTCTGGGCTCAATTGTGGTTATAAGTTGAGGACTGCCTGTATTAAATTGTGTTCCCAAAAAGAACAGGTGAGGAATAGAACAGAACAGAACAGAACAGAACAGAACAGAACAGAACAACAGAACAGAATAGAATTTTTTATTGGCCAAGTGTGATTGGACACACAAGGAATTTGTCTTGGTGCATATGCTCTCAGTGTACATAAAAAGAAAAGATAAATTTGTCAAGAATCATAAGGTATAACACTTAATGATAGCCATAGGGTACAAATAAGCAATCGGGGAACAATATCAATATAATATAAGTGGAAGAAGATGGGTGGGGGAAACGATGAGAAGAGTTTTACTATCCCCTTTGCTGATTACATAAAGTAAGGAGGATTTGAATGCTTAAGTCGCGTATAGCAGCAGGTATAACAACTGCTAACGTATCTCTACATCTTTTGAAACCACAGAATCTGTTGGACTTTTCCCCTTGATTGAACTTTTCTGCCCTCAGTTTCAGCTCTGTGTGGGAGATGTTTTCTTTCACAAGACTAGAGTTTTTCCCAGTCTGAATGCAATCCCAGGTTTATAAATGGTAGTTTATAGTTAGTTTTTCAACTGCCATCACTGGACACCAATGCTCAGCTATCGACTACTCAAGTGAGAAGTCAGCCTTGGGATTTTTCAACAGAGATTTCATTCTGAGCCATAGCAACAGGCTGAAAAGAACGTCGCTTCTCCTTCTGGTGCCATCACTCAAAGTTCTCTCAAGCTTGTCTTTGCAGATAGGAATCAGTTTAAGCCACATGTGCCAAAGGCAAGCCTAGGCTGATCCTGTTTGTGCCGTTTGACCTTTAAAATATTGCAGCAGCTCTAGACAAAGCACTATATGAGAAATGCCATCTTTTTCAACAGCAAACGTTTTAAAAACACAGAAACACCTGCATTGCTTAAAAAAAAAATAGCAAGTGAAGCTTGATGTGGTGTTAGTCACTTGGTTTGCCCTATATGACTTGTGGTATTGAGGTTTTAAATTGGATTTTTTTGACTCAAGAGTGGGATTATAGATTTAATCCATCACCTCTGCTATGTTCCTGATCAGCACTGTCCCCATCGCCCCCCCCCTCAGAAATGACAATAGGAGGAAATAACTCCTTTGACAGCAAAATTAGACTTCCTCGTTCTTATTTATTTGCTTATTTATTACACTTACATCTCACTTTTCCCAGGAACTCCATGCTTTTACAGATGACCATCTCATCTAATATTTTCCTGCAACAGCATCCTTGTGGGGTAGCTTGGCAGGGAGGCTACCCAATTTGCAAGTGCCATCCTATTTTCATAGTATCTTTACACTGCTGCCACTGAGCATCCTGCCACGTTCCTCTCCAGCACTTGGGCATAGGCTGATCAGCATCTTCTCACCAGCCTTCAATTGTAAGGATTACCGCAGTTGTAAAACCTGTTTGATATGATCAATTTAGTGCACGATGAATCCACATTCCCCTTAGGGATGAATCCTTAAAAAAAATCACAATAATAGTTTTTATTTGGATCTTAGTCATAACATTTTTTTTAAAAAAAGATTTCCCTAGAAAAATGAAGAGTTTATTCTCTATGGTATCACTGATAGAAATGTTGCTATAGTTGGTATAATAATGCAGTATAAAATGCAGTATTTATCTAGCCATGTGTGATGAAAGTTTGCAGATGTTCCAAAGTTAATGGCATCCTGTCAATTGTTTTAGGGCTGGCTGGCATCAAAATCTGTTTTGAGCTTTACTATCAAGACATGGATACTTTACTGTTTGTGTTGCGTACTATGAATATTGTATTGTTTTATATTTTCTACTGCAGTAATTTTATTGCTTTATATTTCTTTATATTGTACCATGGGCATTTTAGTTTGCCATTTCTAATAACTCCCCATGAACCTGGCTGGCTTGATCCCATCCTTTCGGTTTTAATTTATAATTGGTTTTAACTGGGTTGTTTTAAATTGATGGCCAAAATTATTTAATGTCTTTTAAACTGCTTTTAAATTTTATATGTTATGTTTTACCGTGGCTGTTCACAGCCCTGAGTCCGGTTGGAGAAGGGTGGTATACAAATTAAATAAATAAATAAATAAATAAAATAAACCCGAATGGATGTCAACATCAGTCGTATCTGAAATTGCTTGCATTTAATATAATTTACTTCAAATTCTATTTCAACAAAAATAAAAATACTATTAAGATATGAGAAACAGAGTGATGAGAAACAAAAGGGGACATTGCTTGATTCCTTGATTTTCCTTGGATCATTAATGATTTACTAATGAATTACTGTCCCACTCTGAAGGAACTTTATGGAGAAAATACATCTATGTGGTCACTAAGAATCAACAACAACTGGATGGCACCTATTCAATCAAATTCAGACTGAAGGAACTAAGTAGAAGGTAAACCAAGGATCTCTTTGTATTGGGATTTGATATGTAAGATTGTAATGCTCTATGAGTCCTTTCTGTGAACTTTGGGAGTAACTTCCTCTTCACTGCACTAGCCATAATATAGCATTAGCTGCTTTACCTGTACAGTTGTATAGACAGAAGATGATGATTATCTTAGAAATAGCCTTAATCTGTATGAAAAAAGAAAAAAAAGGACAAAGAAAGCATTTCATAGTGGTGGTTTTACAGCAGCCTTCCTTTATTTAGCACCCTATAGAAAGGTAGAGGTACTCCAGCTCTCAGAATTCGCAAACCAGTGTGGCTTCTCAGAGCCTGAAACAAGGCAAAAAAGGCAGTGCCTCCTCTCTGATATTGAAAAACTGTTTAAAACAACAACTTGGAAAAGGAATATTCTAAAAGCAGGAATAATGGACAAACCATGTTCTTCTCTGGCACTGACCTATAGTCACAAGTGGGGAATTGGCAGTTTTCCAGATGCTATTTCTTTATTATTTTTATTTTATTTATGGTCAAGGACCAATTGTATCAGGCACAGTTCACTCAAGATAAAAAGGAAAAGTATTACTAAAATGGATTACTCTAATAATGTGGTAGGCTATGAAAAACTAAGACCCAACAACAACAACAACAACAACAACAACAACAACAATAACAAAATATTTATTGTTAACAAATTGGAACTAAACTGCTAGTCCCATTGCAGTAATAGCAGATGGGCAAAATGTGGTAATCCTTTGAGCAATTTCTGTTGACAGGTCTATGAATTGAAAGTATAAATTCTCACCAATCCACCCAGACTAGCAGAGGATTTATGAATTATGAAACAGTGACTCACTCTCTTCTGGATAAGGTCAAGGATGTTCTTGAAATGGGTGTTATTAGATTTCTTCTCTTAAAATCGTGAAAAGCAGAATAGTAAGCCCGGCTAAAGCTGTTGAACTACAGTTCTCTGCAGCTCCAAACAGCATGGCCAACGATGGGTTAGCAATATCCAGGAGGGTAGACTTCTCAATAAATCACACTGGTTTTATTTCTGTGTAGGATTGGATTTATCGTGGCTTTTCTACAATGCAACTTAAATGATGCTAGGGGATTGCAAAAGTTATCCCACTTGGAACTGTGTAGGAAACAAAAAATGTATAGACCAGTGATGGCTAACCTTTTTGCCATTGTGTGCCAAAAGCAGGGGGAGCGCGGGGGGGTGGGGTCACACAAGCACGCACCCACACCCATATCTTTCTTGGAGCCTGGAGAGGGTGAAAATGGCCTCCCCCCCCCAGAGGCCCTCTAAAGGCCGGAAACAACCTGTTTCCCAACTTCCAGTGAGACCAAAAGGCCCGTTTTTCGCCCTCCCCAGGTTCCAGAGGCTTTCTAGGAGCCTGGGGAGGGCAAAAATAGCCTCCCCCCCATCCCCGAGGCCAGAAACAGCCTGTTTCCCGACTTCCAGTAGGCCCGGAAGGCCTGAAAATTAGCTGGCTGGCACGCACATGCGTGCTGGAGCTAAGGTAGGGCAATGCTTGCATGCCCACCTATATGGCTCCACATGCCACCTGTGGCACGCGTGCCATAGGTTCGCCATCACGGGTACAGACTGTAAAGACAGATTGCTCCCTTACCACTTGCAGCTCCGTGAAAATGCACTATCTGGACTTGCTGCAAAGATAGGATTTTTTTTTTAATTTAATTTGATTTATATGCTGCCCTTCTCTGGAGACTCAGGGCGGCTTACAATGCGTTAAGCAATAGCCTTCATACTTTTGTATGATTGCTTTGACACTTGCAGTCTAGGAGTTAGCCCATCCATCATAATAAAGACAACCACTGTTTCCAGTGAGGGGGCCTTTTGGCACTGCAAATACAGTGTTTTGAGGAAGAACGGCTGGTGTGCATGGAGTGGGTGGATGGGTTTTCCCTGTTGCTTTGATTCTTTAGCTGGCTCAGTTCATTTGCATGATCGTTTCATGCTACTGTTGGTGAGGGTTTATGTCTGCAATAATTTAATGCTACTGCTGGTTGAATTGACAAGGTGTTATCAGTATAGAAAAATGATTTCATACAGGCTACTGCTGTGTTATTGTAAGGCAGATTGGCATGCTGCCTGCAGTTTTCATCACCGGAAAGTCTGATAGTTTAATAATAAAAAGAAAGAAAAATCAAATTCCATTACAGTTAGGAAGAAAAATTTATGAATTAAAAAGGGCTCAGATTTGTTTTTATCCCCCTAACATTTCATATTTTAGTCTTTGGGCTTTTGGAAATTCGTTTATTTGCAGATTTTCATGCTCACTTACTGATCTTCCATGATTTCAGAGTCCAATGGGAATTCCACAGATGGATCAAAAAAGGATTACAGTGACTCATAACTTGAGCCTCGGTTCTAAGAGGTTTCACCACATGAACTTCTGAGATCATCATCACTCTTGGACTGCAGAAATGAAGTGAGGCACATTCTGGCCATTGTGACCAACCTGAAATGAAGAGCCTCTGAAGAACTGCCCTTTTTGCCAGGAAGAACACAATAAGAAGAGGAAGATCAACTGGACAAAGAAGAGGCATTTGCAGGACATTTGCCTTGCTTCATTGCTATTTGAAAGAATATGTAACTACCAGTATCTCTGGAACTAGAGAATTGAAGAAATTTAGGCAAGAAAAACCAAAAGCACAGGTATAGAATAGATGGTACCTGGGTCAATAATAGTAACTGTGATAAGGATCTTGGAGTCCTACTGGACAATCACTTAAGTATGAGCCAGCAATGTGCTATAGCTGCCAAAAGCTAATGCAATTCTAGGCTGTATTAACAGAGGGATAGAACAAGAACATGTGAAATGTTGGTACTACTTTATAATGCCTTGGGTAAGACCACACTTGGAATATTGCATCCAGTTTTGGTCGCCATGATATAAAGAACAAGTTTAGACTCTAGAAAGAGTGCAGAGAAGAGCAACAAAGATGATTAGGGGACTGTAGCAGTGGTGGGATTCAACTGGTATAACAACTGGTTCACTGAGCACGCGCTTCGTGTTCAGAAGAACAGTTGCTGGAATTGGGTATATCTAGTTTAATGAAAAGAAGGACTAGAGGTGACATGACAACAGTGTTCCAATATATATAAGGGGCTGCCAGAAAGAAGAGGGCATCAATCTATTCTCCAAAGCACCTGAAGGCAGAACAAGAAGCAATGGATGAAAACTAATTAAGGAGAGAACCAACTTAGAATTAAGGAGAAATTTCCGGACAGAACATGTAATCAATGGACTGGCTTGCCTTCAGAAGTTGTAGGTGCTCCATCACTGAAGGTTTTTAAGAAGGGATTGGACAACCACTTGTTTGAAATGGTAGAGGGTCTCCTGCCTGAGTAGGGGGTTGGACTAGAAGATCCCCAAGGTCTCTTCCAACTCTTTTATTCTATTATTCTGAAAGCACATTTTGGATCTAATACCACTCTATAAAGCCCTAGTAAGACCACACCTAGAGTACTGCATCTGGTTTTGGTCACCACACTATAAAAAAGATGTTGAGATTCTAGAAAAAGTGCAGAGGAGAGCAACCAGGATGATTAGGGGACTGGAGACTAAAACATATGAAGAATGGTTACATGAACTGGGCATGGCTAGTCTAGTGAAGAGAAGGACCAGGTGAGACATGATAGCTGTCTTCCAATACTTGAGGGGCTTCCACAGAGAGGAGGAGGTCAAGCTGTTTTCCAAAGCACCTGAAGGGCAGACAAGGAATAATGGATGGAAACTGACCAAGGAGAGATTCAACCTAGAAATGAGAAGGAACTTTCTGACAGTGAGAACAATCAACCAATGGAACAGCTTTCCTTCAGAAGTTGTGGGAGCTTCATCACTTGAGACTTAGTGGAAAAGATTGGACTGCCATTTATCAGAAATGGTGTAGGGTCTCCTGCTTGGATAGGGGGTTGGACTAGATGACCTATAAGGCCCTTCCAACTCTGTTAATCTGTTAAGATCTTTTGGCAGACATAAGTTTAAAGACTGGTGGCTTCTCTGTATGTATATGTGTATATGTGTACTGAATCTCTGACCAGTCTGTTTGTTTTCTTTCAATCTGCAAGCTTTTAAGTTATTCTGAGTTACTTCAATCATTTGATTCAAAAGTGGACTACGTGTTGATACTTCAAAGTAAGTTTGATTAGTGATCCTGCTAGGGCTGCCATCAGAGATCTTTTGGCTGCTGACCAAAGAAAAGGCCTTATTGATTGCATTGCTCTCTTTGCTAGCTGCTCTTCCAAGGAAGCTCACCTGCTGCCGAATTCCATTACCTTTTTTTTTTTCTTTACTCAGGGCTTTTAGTTTTGATGTTATTGTTTGTATTGCTTTTTTTAATCATTTAAAATTTCAGAGGACACACTTGGACATAGCACTATCACTTCTTTTGGTCACTGACTCTTAATAGGAGGGATTCCCCCCCCATGTTAAATTGGAACCTGTCTTCTTTTTTTTTTTTTTAATTTGATTTATATGCCGCCCTTCTCCGGAGACTCAGGGCGGCTTACAATGCGCTAAGCAATAGCCTTCATCCTTTTGTATATTTATACAAAGTCAGCTTATTGCCCCCACAACTGGGTCCTCAATTTACCTACCTTAGAAAGGATGGAAGGCTGAGTCAACCTTGAGCCTGGCGAGATTCGAACCTGCAGTAATTGCAGGCAGCTGGTCTTAATGACAGGGTGCTTTAGACCACTGTACTACCAAGGCTCTCTTCTTGTAATTGAAGTCCCTTTATCCATGGTTTGCACTCTGAAACAATAAAAACAGGTCTTGGCTTTCTTCTGTGGTCTAAGTGCTGAAATGCCCTACCATGTCCTTCATTCTCTTTTTTCAAAGCTGAATATACCCAGCTCCTTCAATCTTCCTTGATAGAACTAGGGTTCCGGTCTCCTGATCATCCTCAGTATCAAAAGTTCCATTGTTCTGAACCTTCCTTAAAAGGAGTGCCCAAACCAGGCACAATATTTGTGGTGGGATCTAGTAAATGCCCCTATAAAGTGGAGTGATTCTTTCCTGTGATTGGAAATGATGCCCATTTTTTATTAAAAAAACAAAACAAAAACAAATGCTGTATTTTACCAAACTCTGGAAGTTCACTGAAATTGGAATATATGATACTAAATTTTAAACTATTCTTAAAACAGTACTTAAAATGTTTTTAAGCAACATTTTTGCATTCCTGTGGTACTGTCAATTATAGTGCAAACAAGGTGAATGAACATTGAAGACAACCATTAGGAATTAGGAAACGTTGGTGTACCACACGCTCCCATGGCCATGAAGGTTTGCCCAAATGCTTCAGTGATACTGAAAGAAGAAATGTGTAGGAGAGACTGGCACTTTGAAAAGGACTGGTGGTGTAAACTTTGAGGGCCCTATCATGTGTGTAATGGAGTATTGCATGTCCAGCTACTACCAGTGAGCTATGTCAATTTCACTTCATTATATGAAATAAAACTTTTAAAGCTCACCAAGAGGAATATATTAATAAAATCCCTTTTTGAAATTAATTATTGGAAAGATGAATGGTCAGCAATTGTTTTAGCCGGCAAATAAAACTGTATTCTCTCAAGTAATCATTGATTTGACTATGTGCTATCAAGTTGTTTTTAACATCTAGTGACCACAGATTTTGTTCCAAATGATTGTCCCTAATCTGTTCTTTCAAATCTCCCAATAGTACACTCATTGTCACTATAACTAAACCCATCCACCTTGTTGCTAGTCATCGACTTCTTCTGTTTCCCTCTACTTTTCCCAGCATTAGAGTCTTTTCCAGACACCTGGGTCTTTGCATATGTCCAAAGTAAGATAATTTGAGCCTGGTCATTTGTGCCTTTAATGACAATGCTGGGCTGATTTGTTTGATGATGTATTAATTAGTTTTCTTGGCTGTTCACAATACTTTTGGAAGTCTTTTCCAGCACCAAAATTCAAAAGTGTCAATATTCTTCCTATCCTGCTTCCTAAAGTCCAACTTTTGCTTCCATATATTTTCTATGGGTTATACTCTTAATTTCTTGTATTTTCCTGTTATGCATTAATCTTCCAATGATACACACATGCTCCCAGGTTCAGCATATGGTCACTCATGGTCCTGGGACATGTATATTCGCCTTCATTTACTGACAAACATATTTACAGCCCTGGAAAATTGCCATGCTCAAATCACTTTCAACTGAACAACTGAGGCACAACTGGTTGTTTAGAATAGATGGAGCAATACTTATTTGAGTTGTTGTATGCTCTGATGGGGGAAGCTTTGATGGTGAAAAATATGTACGATACACCCAAAAGCGTTCAGGAAGCAAAATATTTGTTGTCTAGTGAATCATATCTCATATGATCAGGAGACCAAATAGCATGTACCTGCCCTTTCACCCTATCAGAAGATGATGAAACTTATAGTCTAATGTACTTAGAGAGCACTTAACTGATTTAAACAAAGACAGAAGGCAAGACCTGTTTTGAAATTTAATGCTGAAAAGTAACTTCATTAGGACACATCAGTGTTTCTCAACCTTAAGTTTAAGGTATGTGGACTTCACTTCCTAGGATTCCCCATCCAACATACTGGTTGGCGAATTCTGGAAGTTGAGGCCCACACTTAATAAAGTTGTTGAGGTTAAAAACACGTGACAAATATATGATACAAGAGCAGTGGTGTATATTTGTGAGGGAGAAAGGTGGAGGGGGGAGAGGGAGAGAGAGAAAGATGATTTGGAAACTTGCGAGAGAGAAAGGTACCACCTACACTTTTAAGAAATCTTTGCTGTGTAGGTGGAAGTTCTGAAATGAGTTTTCTCTAAAGGGCGGTTCCGGGGATACCTTTTATCATGAAGATAACAACAAAAGAAGGGAATAGAATTTCAGCAGAGACAATTGCTAAGGTTGCTTCAAGCCTTTAGAATCCCTTGTTTTAAAGAAAAAGGAAAGGATTACCTGCTCTTCCAAGCTCTTAGATTGAAAGTGGATTGGTTAACCAAAGCAGACCAAATGATCAATTCATGTTTCCAGTGCAAGCCAAAGACCAAACAGAACTTTTGTTCTAGTCAGTAATATTTTATCATTCATCACCTGTTCTTGTTGTATTTTTAAAAAATGTATTTGAAATGTTTGGACACTTTGCCATATGTTTGGTTTTGTTTACAACTTAATCGAGTCAGACTAGTTCAAAGCCCTGTGGGACATAATAAAGCCACATCTTCCCAGCTAGCAGCTTTTTCAATCTGTCTGATGCGTGTACTTGTAGTGAAAAGTACACTTGGGCCACCACTCATACATCACGTGTCTTTTCCTGTACAATGATGAATGTTCACACAGGAAAATGTAAATCATAAAGCAAGCTCCAGAAGACATCCATCCTTTATTTCTGCATGATCACTTGCAGACAAAGAGCTACAGCACCAGGAATTTATTTATTAAACTCAGAACCCCCAACTTTTATTAGCTGCCATAAGGTTCCCAGGCAGGCCTCTGCATCAGCTTAGACTTGCTTACTTTTAAGATGAAAAGTACACATGTAGAACCAGCTGGCCATGCCTTTTCCCAAAGTACTCCATTCCATTCCTCCTTGAAATAGGCCGCATCCAGCTATTTCCAGGGAAGCCTCCTAAAAACATCTCATGTTTGTAAACACTGGAGACGCTTCACATTTACTTATAATTACCCTTGTAACCTGTAGTGCTACTTTGGTTATATAAAAATTGAAGAGTTTGTTGATAATCATTTTGGCTCACACTGTTTCAGCCCAGATTTTCCCCAAAAAGCTCAGTTTGATAAACATGATGCCTCCTCAGCCAGATATCCTATCAGGTAGAATATGACCAAAGAGAATGACATGCTCATTCATTGGGCTGACTATTGGTTTTCCCAACCACAGTTTATTGAATACATTTCACATATCCATTAAGATATAAACCACATTTTAGTAACCACAATGACCCAGCTTATGAAATAATGGAATTGTGGAGCTGGGAGGGACCACAAGAGTTGGGTAGCTCAATTCTCTACAATGCTCAGGAAGATCAATTAAACCATCCTTGAGAAGTAGCTTTCTAGCCTTTTCTTAAAAACCAGAAGTAGAGTGTTCTACTGTTTCACAGATTTTACCATCAGGAAGTTTTCCCTTATATTCATATTTCTTATATGTATTTATATGTATGTAACATATACTTATTATTCATATACTTGCCTAGGCCAAAGCCAAACAAAAGCTCAAGATCCAACACATAATTTTATGATATGGGAATTGACCCATGCTTGCAAGGGCCTTGGTCAGATGAAGATGAGAATAACGTATGCAAAAAAAAAAAAAAACTGTTTCCCCCAAAATAAGACATCCCCTGATAATAAGCCCAATCGGGCTTTTGAGTGCATGGCAGTAAGTCCAAGCGCTTATTTCAGGGTTCAAAAAAATATAAGATAGGGTCTTATTTTTGGAAAAACATGGTATATTTTTGCCAGCTACAAAGAAGGTATCTTTTAGCCAATCAGATTTACAGTCAATTTTGGCATGGCTCACTTGACACCCAGATGTTTCTTATTAAATCTGAAAAAACATTTATACAAAACAAAATCCTAGGCTACAACCATACACACCTGACTGCATTAAAGACCAACTGAGATTAATTGGCCTGATAATGTCTGGAAAAACACCAAAGGCACTTAACAACTTCTGTAAATCACACAGCTTTATTTAAAAAAATGTTACTTCAATATAAAAAAGGTAAAACATAGTAATATTTATTGAAATCTATCAACATGTGCCTTTCTAAATGCTTTATAATTTTTTGAGCTATAGAGAAATATATTCTAGGACAGTGGCCCCCAACCTTTTGGGTACCAGGGACCGGTTCTGTGAAGAGATTTTTCCAGGGACCAGAGAGGTCATGGTTTCACATGCTGTCTGCATCCCGCGGACAGGGCTTTGTTTGTGAGAACCAATTTCTGGCATACCTGGTACTAGTCCACGGACTGGAAATTGGGGACACCTGGAAAGGAAAAAAGCAAGAATTCAAACTATACCAAAGACACAGACCAGGCAAAGAGAGAGGGACCAAAATGAAGCAGGCAATCAGGACATGAGATTCTCCCCTGCTTTTATTAGACATCTAACTTTCTCTTATTTTACCTTTTCTCCTCACTGATTCTAATGAGAAGGGGAAAAAAAAAAAACTATGCCTGATTCAGAACTAGCACCATTTCCTCCCTGTTCCCATAATGACTCTGAACATAGCAAATCTGTAGATCCATAACCTCTCCTCCATGAAATGCTCCCAGATTGCCTTTCTGGTCTCTTTTATACCACTGAATTCTGGTATTAGAGAAGCGTGTGTCTCTGTAATTTAGGACCGTGGGCTTTTTTAAAGCAGAGAGTTGACTTTCCCCTTAAGAAGATCTAAAAATACCTGTGGGCCTTGTGATGCCCACTAGGAATTACGGTATTGCATCCTTAATTAAAAAAAAAACCTATTGTTACTATGACGATCAGTTGATATATTGGTTAAGGTAGTAAGTTAGAAATCAGGAGACCCTGAGTTCTGTCAAAGCATAGGCACGAAGCCAGTTCGGTAATCTCGGGCCAAACACTCTTTCTTAGCCCTAGGAAGTTGACAATGGCAAATTATACTGAAATCTTACCAAGGAAACTGCACGGATTTGCCCAGGCAGTCACTAGGAATCAGTCCTGAGGCACCTCTCACACAAAATTGCTATTAGAAGTAGTCCTTGTTTTGTGACTGTCTCATTTAGCAACCATTCAGTTACAGTGCTGATGAAAACATAACTTTATGACCAGTCTTCATATTTCTGACCTTTATAGATCTGTAAAACAAAGAAAAACTGAAGTAATATCATAAGCATAGTCAAAATTTCATTAAGCAACAACTTCACTTAACCATTGAGTTGCTGTGGTCCAAATTGTGGCCACTAAACAAGAACTATCTGCATAATTTACAAAAAATATGTAGCTATGTTTTAAAGTCCTTTCTTGACAGTAAATTCACCACACACAGTTTCTTTGAACAGACAGGTAAAGCATTGGAATACAAGCTGCATACTGTATTTTTGGATGGATGTCATTCTGCAGTAATAAATACGTTGATTTTAAGCCTGAAACCCGATAACATTCATTTTCTTGTTATTTCATATTGCCTATTTATGGCCTGTTTTCCCCATCAACTACATACACAAATAAAAAATCATAAACATTTATCTGGAAACAATTTCCTCTGAAATAAATGGACTTAGTATGAACCTGTGTAGAATCACAATGAGCGCCAGTTTGGTGTAGCAGTTAAGGCATCAGACTAGAAACTGGGAGACTGTGACTTCTAGTCCTGCCTTAAGTACAAAGCCAACTGGGTGACCTCTGACTAGTCTTCTCTTAGACCTAGGAAGGAGACAAGGGCAAACCACTTCTGAAAAACCTTGTCAAGAAAGCTGCAAGGATTTGGCCAGGCCCTCAAGGATTGGACATGATTGGAAAGAGAAAAAAAAAGTGCATTGTAAAATGTCAGCATCTTATATTTACTGCAAAGGATTGATTTTCTGTTGCTAATGGAAGAACTATTTCTAATTTTAAACAGGCTAATTCATCCAGAGGGTCAAGCTTTTAAAATTTGTTAAGAAGCAGGCATTGCATTTTGTCTCTCTCTCTGTGTGTGTGTGGGTGGGTGTCTTTTGTAGAAAAAAATTATTATTTGCTACCCTCTTCTGGAATGGTTTAAGAAAGTGAAATTTCTGAAAATAACAATAACAATGAAACAATAGTAAAACAATATCAGGGGACCTTAGCAACAAAGAAATATATCCCTTGGCATAGCTTAAAAGCTAGAGTTCATTTAGTGCAAATCTGCAAGTAGTAATGACAAGGAGGATGACTTTCTATTGAGAGATCAAAGAAAGGAACGTTTACATAACACATCCACACACAAATACAGACATTCGCACAGGAACTAAGGAAAGGATTGGAAAAAGGTGCAAGATTTAACAAAACCGTCATACGTCTCCACAAACGTGCGTACAGATGCAATGTAAACATTTGCAAGGATCAGACATCGACTGCAGAGTGGTGGAGTTCCTTTTTTAACGATCTACTATAAATATTTCGTTAAGAATTCAGTGAAAACATTAGTTATATTTTCGACTTCAGATGAGCGGGGGAGCCAAAGCCTGAACACAGTTCTGCGGGACTGGGCGTTAGAAAGACGGATTCCCTTTTGCTTTCCTGCCACGTACATGGCGGCGTTCAAATTACAACTGGAAGTGTGAAAATCCAGCGCCGCCGGATTTTTCTTTTTCCTCCTCTCTATGAAGGTACTTGGAGCTTTTAATAAACCAAAGGATCAAGCTGGCCTCCTGATTGGTTGCTCTTCCTGGGACATGGGCCAATCATCATAAGACCAGAGCGCCTGTGCGTCTGCGCGGGACGATTTGAATTTTTCTGTATGCTTCCTGCCAGTTACCGATGGAGGCCGTCTGCTCGAAGGCCACCATGGACCTCTCAGTTCGGGCACAGTGAGTAACTGGAAGGGCGAAGCGATCTCGCCTCCCGCGGATTTTTGGCCGGACAAATCTCTTCCGTACTGCGACGGTCAGCCAGGCTAGCAACATTTTGCCTCCCTGGTATCTGACTCAGACTCAAGAGGCGGATTATAATTGTGATGGCGGCGAGGGAGTTATCTTTTGCATGGGAATTACCCTCTACAGCAGTGTTTCTCAACCTTGGTAGCTTGAAGATGGGTGGACTTCAACTCCCAGAATCCCCCAGCCAGCTCTGCTGGCTGGGGGATTCTGGGAGTTGAAGTCCACCCATCTTCAAGCTACCAAGGTTGAGAAACATTGCTCTAACAGGTTCCTACATGCAGCACGCAAGTGAAAGGGAGTACTGAAGCACAGCAATTTCAGGCTACAATATCTATGGATCTGTATAAATACCACACAAACCTGTTAAATATCTCCCTTATTTTGTTTCTGTTGATGAGCAGTGCTGGGAGAGCAACTCTTGGACACTTTTTTAGCTGTAGTACCAAGTCTGTGATCATCCCTGGGGATAGTAGTGCTTTGCCATTGCTCTTAGTTGTCAGATAACTGGAGTTAGTTTGGTTTTTTTGGGGGGTGGGGAAGGAAGTCAGTAATAGTTTGGGTTTTGTTTACCTGGGCTTTGGCTGGGTATTTTTTTTCATACTGTTATCTGTTAACAGTTTATTTTCTTGCAATTTACACACACATTATGGTATATAAAGTTTGCTTGTTAACATTATAGGTTAATATTGTCCTGCTGAGTCAAAAGTGTTTTAAGAATATAATATACAGTAGTGGCCAAAATTGTGGAAACCTTTTAAGAAAAGTGTATTTTTGAGGTTTGATGGCTAATAACACCACTTTTTTTGGAGTTTCAAGATGATCAAATTCCACTGTTGGAATGGCCTGGGAATAGCCCAGACCTTAACCCAATTGAAAATCTATGGAGCCGACTAAAGAAACTTGTTAGTCAGAAGCAACCCAGCAATAAAACCCAGTTAATAAAAGCAATCATTCAATCTTGGTTTCACATTATAACAGCTGCAGAACTACAAGACTTGGTTCACTCCATGGGAAGATGTTGTAAGGCCTTAATTCATGCTAAAGGTTACCCAACTAAGTATTAACTGACGTGATAATTTTTGTATATCTCATTTTTTCTATGGTGATAATTTTTGTATATCTCGTTTTTTCTACGTGTGTCACTTTTCTTTATACTGTAACTGCTATTTTAATAGCAAATCCTTCATAGAAATTATTGCATTACATTCTCGATTAAATTATCTTTCCATTGATATATAATTTTATGGTGCTACTCCAAAAAAAAGTGGTGTTATTAGCTAGTTTTAGAAAATACACTTTTCCCAAAAGGTTTCCACAATTTTGGCCACTACTGTATGTAATTTCACTTCAATAGCAACCTTGGCTATATAGTTGCCATTTGATTTTATAGGAGGATTCTGATGTGGAAATTGGTCCACATTGTGATCAGCTTCTTTTACTTTTCAACTCCATCATTTGAGGTTCTTTTGCTTTGGTCTTCATTACTTTCAGAGGAAGTGTACTGTTTTGTAGTCAGGAATCTTTTAGGAAATCATAATTGAAGGGAGGTGTCTGTTATTTACAAAGCTATTTATTGTTATCATTGACCAGGATTGTGACTTTTTTTTTTCTTTTATATTTAACAACCTGCCATGCAGAGTTTCTTTAATATACTGTAGATAGTCCTTGACTTAGAACAGTTCACTTAGTGTCTCCCCGAAGTTACAACGGCACTGAAAAAGTGACTTCTGACCTTTTTTACACTTATGACGATTGCAGCATCTCCATGGTCATGTGATTTACATTCGGAGGCTTAACAACTGCCTCACATTTCTGACAGTTGCTGTGTCCTGGGTCATGTGATCACCTTTTGCAACCTTCTGACAAGCAAAGTCAATGAGGAAACCAGGTTCACTTAACAACCATGTTACTAATTTAACAACTTCAGTAATTCACTTAACAAGCATGGCAAGAAAAGTCGTAAAATGGGGCAAGACTCACGTAACAAATTTCTCAAATTTAGCAACATAAATTTTGGGCTCAATTGTGGTTGTAAGTTGAAGACTACCTGTATAGCAGTTACAATCTAAAACAAATTTAAGGGGTTGCAATCTTATCTATAGCTCAAGTCAGCTGTGCACTCTGCAGCATATTGTACAGTACAGAAAGACTATTAGATTTGGGCTGGTACATTCTGAAATTGGCCCTGATAATACATGCAACACCCCTCTCTATAGGAAACTTGTTTTAGTAGAGACACTCACTGCAGATTAGCTTACTACCATTGTAGTTTCCTCTGTTTTTGTAGAAGGGTGAAAATAATTAGGTTTAATTATTCTGTGAAAAGACTTGGTGATGGAAACAATCTTAAGTTTACTTAAATTGGAAGTAAATCTTATGAAACCAGTGGGATAGAGAAGGCTTTAAAAAGTGCTTTATGGAGACCACTCTTAAATTTTCACATATGCAGTCATTCATCTTAAAACATGTCTTTCATGTTTTAGGGGTTTTATATGTATTTTATTGTTTGTTAATTGATAATAAAAGGAAAAAGGAAAACAATAAGCAGGTGCAATCATCAATAAGCATATGTGTAAAAAAATAGAAATTACTAAAGAAAAGCACACACCTACAAACAAAAGGAAATTAATACCATATATATAAGAAATATATACAGTGGTGCAAAAATCCAACCCTCTCAAATCCTGTTATCTTATTTTCAAATTCAATAGCTTATAGTGTTTATTAGTTACCCACTTCCCTTAATTAATTAATTAAGGATTTTATGTTCTTGTTTTTAGCGGTTTGTGATTGCTTTATACTTTTCTATTTGCACTTTTAGTACTTAAAAGTGTGTACTCCCTCCGCATTGGTCCTGCTGTATTGCAGTTTTAATTTTGTCTTTATTTTTGTCTGTATATTGGTCCTGGACCACATAAATAAAGATTTGCTTTACTGTAGAGTTGTCCTGGGGGGAATGAGTGAAGAACGTCAGGTATGTTGGGAAAATGTAGCAAGGTCACTCAAAAATATGAAGATCATTCCAGGGACATGGGGAAATTCTAGAAGAGGTGATCATTTTGGTGGCAAGGGCAAAGGGGTCACTTCATACTGCCTGGAAGAGTGGTAAACCACTTTTATATTTTATCAAGAAAACCATATAGATAGATAAGATAAAGTGATTGATGTTGTACTGGATGATGGACCTCTAAGTTGGATCATATTGACATGTTACTGAGGTTCTTTTGGAATACTAATGGTGTTTACAATACAGCTACATAAAAGCCTTTGGGGAGTTCAATTGCTGACGTTGCTGTGTAGGAAAAGAAAATTGAAGTTGCAAAGACAGAATTACAACGGGGACATGGAATGCAAGGGGCATTAATGTGGGAAAACTCAGCACAGTGAATGATGAATCAACTACACGTTGACACCTTAGGCATCAATGAACTGAAATGAATTTTCAGGCAGAATATCTTACTGTTTATCATTCAGGACATGAAAAACAAGAATGCTTTTATAGTTGGGAAGGATATAGCAAGGACAGTACTTGGGTGAGAGTCTACAAGGTGATAGTACAGCTCAGTTATAATAGCAAAGTCGTGCCCAGGAGGGCTAACTATGGAACATCACAAACTGCTCACGTGCAAGTTTCAAATCAAGCTAAAGCAGAAAAAAAAGCCAACCAGTTTCCATGATGTGATGCTGAGAAGAGTAATAAATCTGAAATTCGACAATGGCAAAAATCATCAGTCAATTGCAAAAGGCAGCTTAATTTGGAACAGCTTACGTCCTGCAACCTTTGAGAGTATTAAACAATGACATATGTTTATCCCAGGTCCTGGGAGACTTGATAGGTGGACAAGAATGCCAAATTCAGTCTAAACCTCGGGTTGATTGTGCAGCCAACCATAATAATATATGCATGTTTCCTGACTGAATAACTCTGAGAGGCTCATAGCAATCAAACTAATTACCATCAAATCAATAAAATATAACGAATACACACACGCACATAAATTCTCCACCATTTTTGCTTTAAAGTCCTGAACCTCATTGATAGGTCATCAGGGGAACTGTGGTCTGAACTTAAAGAAGTTGTTAAGGATGATTGTGGAAAGAGGCTGCTAAAGTGTGTGAAATAAACAGAAGAAAGTAAAATGGATGTCAGAACAAAAGCTGGAAATCAAGAAAAGAGAAGGCAAAGCCAGTGAAGACAAAGATCTACAAAGAAATTTAACAAACAATTTAAAGAGCCTTTGGAAGACACAAGAATCAGTATTATGATAGCACCTGAAAAGAAATCAGGGATGAAAACAGATATGGGAAAACCAGAAAATAATCTCAGAATTCTGAAGGAGGTCCCAACTTCAATTTGGATACTAAAGAATGCAACAGGCAGATAATCAGGAGTCTTGTAGTCAGGGGTCTCCAACTCCTAGTCTGTGGCCCGTTGGGAACTGGGCTGTGTTAGTAGCAGGCAAACACGCAAAGTTTTATTTGCGGATGTGTGGGATTAGGTTGCACATGCAAAGCCATCCTCGTCGCCATCTTTGCCACTCTTTAGTGACGGAATGGTTGGGGATCACTGTGTAGCACCTTTTCCAATTATCAAATTTTGTTAAAAATAAGCTTTTG